GCTAGCTCTTTGTAGATCGTACATTTGTACTAGATAAATACTTTTGGATGTCTTTTATCAAGCTGTAAAATAAATTATAGATTTTCTGATTTTCATGCTGACAAACATAAATGAGACGATTTTGGCGAACTGGGTCTTAAACTCTTGAACAATTTTGGTTCATTGGTTCAACTATCTTAAATCAATCATCTCAAGAAAGGTTATTCTTGGGTTGTTTTTTAGACTCCGCTGTGATTTCTAAACCTGTTCCTATGGCTCTAAATCTTCTTTTACATTTTGATTTGCTTTAGTTTTTTTTCTTGGGCTTGCTGGAAGGGTGAGTTATTTTTTCTTTTTTCCTGGGAGAAGAACCTTTAGGTTTCTATTTTTTTGAGTGAGTTGTATGGGTGTGTAGTTTGGTTCTTCTTGCCTCTTTTTGTACTTTATTTTTATTTGTGGAATAAAATTCTCCTATGGGGTTTATAAAATAAAAAACAAATCATCAATTTGGCATGGCCTGCTATTAAAAAATGTTCTTCCAAGAGTTCTTCCAAGAATAACCTTTCATAATCTGCTCAAGTAATGACTAAATCAGGTCCGTAAGTGTTGCTTGAATATCCCATCAGTCATTGATACCTTCACGTACTTGAAATGTTGCTATGTCCACATTACACTCCTCAAGGCATTTTATGACTCGAAGTTCAGATGCAGTGCAGATGAATTTAGAACAACAACCAGTAGCTTCTGAGAGAGGTGAAAGTTCAAATCCAACACCGGGTGAATCTATTCCAGATGATCTGCAAAATTATAATTTAGCCAGAGATAGACAGAGACGCACCAATGTAAGACCTCATAGCAGATTAGGTTATGAATACTTGGTTTCTTGTGCACTTCTCATTAGCAGCGATGACTCAGCCACTTTTCAAGGAGCTATCACCAACCAGGAGAGAAATGGATGGGTGCAATGGTTGAGGAGATGGAGTCTTTGCAGAAAAATTGCACTTGGGAGCTAGTTCAGCTTCCGGAGGGAAAGAAGACTATTAGGTGCAAATGAGTCTACAAAAGGAAATCAACAGTATCATAAAAAGAAGGAGAAAAGTTCAAGGCTCGACTAGTTGCAAAGGGATTTTCACAGCAGAAGGGGATAAATTATGCTGAAATATTTTCTCCTGTGGTTAGACATATTTCAATCAGGGCGGTGCTTGCATTAGTAGGCATTAGTAGCTATTTTCATTAGTAGCCATTTGAAATTTGCATTTGGAGCAGATGGATGTTAAAACTGCTTTCTTGCATGGTGATTTGGAGGAGCAGATTTACATGGAGCAGCCGGAAGAATTTACTCAACCTAGACAGGAGCATCTGGTTTGCAGGTTAAAGAAATCGCTGTATGGGTTGAAAGCCTCCAAGACAATGGTACGAGCGGTTTGACTCCTACGTGATGCAGATTGGCTACAGACAATGTGAGTATGATTGTTGTGTTTATGTGAAGAGCCTTGATGATGATTCTATTATTTTTTTGTTACTGTATGTTGATGATATACTGATTGCTGCAAAAAAAAATATGAATGATGTCCGTGATTTGAAAGCTTTATTGAGCCAGAAATTTGATATGAAAGACTTGGGTCCTACGAAGAAGATTCTTGGAATGGAGATTCATCGAGACAGAGGCTCAAGACGATTATGTTTATCTCAACGAGGCTATGTTGAGAAAGTGCTGAAAAGGTTTGAGATGA